TATTGCCTGCCAAGGATAACCGATCCATGCGCTATGCATACGGCAATGCTGCAACTGCAGACGATTGGCGACAGCTGGAACCGCTAGAGAGCTTCCAGACAGCCGGTAAGTGTGTGAGGCTCTTGTGAGAAAGGAACATTCAATTGATGAAAGATCTCCTTGGACAGATGAGCATATTGGCTATTTGGGAGCACCCGTCAAACAACTTGCCTGGGCACCCCTGCCGCCGACGGTCGCCGAGCAGTATTTGCTGTGCTCCCTCCGCAAAGAGATGCTGAAGCATGCGAAGCACAAGCCGGAGGCGCCGGAGGATGACGTGTTAATGCTACTCAAGTGTCAGCTGTCGGAAAGCGAGGAGCGGCGAGGCGTGTGGCCCCTGGCAACACGCCTGCACTATGCGATACGAGTGCCCAGTGGGCCCGTTCATAGCTTTGCATTTATGCCCAGCGGCGGGTATGATAAGTCGGCCAATCGTTTGGGTCTGCTGGCGGTGGCTAGTACTCAGAGCGATGTGAACATCTATTCCCTGCCCCTGAACCTGGAAGATGAGGCAAAGGGGCATGTGGTTATTGAATTGCAGCCATCGCTGACCCTCACCTTGGATGTGAATAATCCTGTTACGGATCTGTGCACTAAAATCTGTTGGTCTGAGGTGAGTTTTTGGCTCCAATCAGAAGCCGATTAGATCTATTGACCTGATGATATTTATATGTGTGATTTTTAGGCCTCTGGTCACAATTTCCTGGCGACTGGATATTTCAGAGGCAACGTTGCCTTCTGGGATATTTCTGATGAGGAGGGCATCAATTGCTTCAAACGGAACGGTCACATACATTTTGTGCCTTTGCACTATTTCTACTTTGGCGAACACAATATACAAAGTATGTTCCTGCTCCTGTATAAAGATTTATTGATTTTAAAACCCCCGATTCCGCCCTTTCAGCTGTGGAGCTTCACTACGATACAAATGGACCTCGTTGGCTGGCCATAGGCTCTTCAACGCGTAAATTATGGATCTATGATATCATCAACTGGACGCAGCCGCTGCCCCTGAACGAAGACTCCATCGCCAATCTGTATCTGGCCAACGTTAGCTGGCCACCCATCTGGGAAACGCTGGTCGTTGGCTGCAGTGATGTCCAGCGACGCTGTAAGGCTGCTGCTTATTTGCTTCTCTCTTTCGTTCGTTCTTTAAGCTTCTTTTTCTTGCAGTCTACTCCCGCTTGATAACGCTCAGTCCAACGGGCATCTTGTTTAACAATAAAACCGTCGACTACACGGTTAGCTCTGCGCGAGCCATGCACTTCAATGTGCGTGAGAATGTACTAGTGGTGGGCACCGACAACGGCGATTTGGTGTTTCTCAATACCCGAGAGCTCAACGCGGAGCCCATACTGCTGAAGATGACGAGCAAATGTCGTGCCGTGTCCAGCAGCAATCTGTGCAACCTGAACACGGAATCGACCCCTGCTCCGGATAAACCAATAACTACCGAAGACTTTCTACAGGATTTTGGCTTGAACGTCAAGCCGTTGGCTGGGGTGGGCAAATCGCAGAAGAATGCCTACATCGATCCGAAGCGACTGCCCAAACCCTACGAGCTTTTGGCCATGACGCGTTTGAACACAGTTCGCTGCAATTGGAACAGCCCCGCACGCAGTTGGGTCGCCGTTGGGGCCGAGCACGGTCTACTGCGGATCGTTCATTTCGATCGCGATAAGTTCTTTTAGCGGCACATCCTAGGGTACATAATATCTCCTATGTATAATAGACACAGATCTGAGAGTATATTACTTTCTGATTGATTTGTTTAGCTAGTTTTACAATGCACTCGATGGATAATCATAGTTGTAATTTAATTATAGCTCTTGTTAAATTTTATATTTCCTATATATTTTATATGGATTAGATATTTATACCTTTAACCTGCTTGGCAAAACTAATTATAAAATAAATCTTTTTTTTACAATATTTATAACCCATTAAATTGTACTGCTGTTGTACTTAAAGGGGTTCGTTTTGTGCTGAAAAGTCGAGCCCTCCGAGTCGATATAGCATTGCCCGTCTGTCCCTTCCGATGAGCGCACAATTTGAAAGATACGAGTAAACTAAAAACGCGGAGTCACAGATAATGACCATATCTACCAGATATCTGAATCTGAATCAAATCGGATCATTAGTATAGCCAAAAGGAAGAAATCCATTTGCAGTGGCTACGCAGCGCCCCACACGTTCTGGCCGAGTGCAATGTGATCGCCCTCTGACGGAGGGTAGCTGTACTGACTGAGTATCGGCTCTAAAAGTAGAGTCGCGGACGTACCTGCTTTCCCTCTCGCGTATGTCATATTGGTGAGTGCTTAAGTCAAATTCAATTCATTTTGTCCTTTAATAAACGAAGCTGATATAATCTAAATAAATTGAATATCAATTTTAAGATCTCCTTCCACAAGGATATGCCGTTCTTCCGCGGTGAATGATAAAACAGCGCCAGGGGGCGCACACCCGCCAACAGGTGTCCGTTCGATCGCCATTTGCATTCGAAAGAGCGAGACAAACATTCCATTGAGCCTCTCCTTCACTTTCCTTCGGCAGCAGTTTTTGCAAGCGGCGAGAAGCTGAGCAAAAGCCAATGAAAATTTCCAATAGGCATGCAGTTAGGATGTGGCGCCGGTGGCCAGAGAGAATGGAATGAGAGAGCAATTAGGAATAGACCCCGAAAGAGAGCTTGGAAGCCTTGGAATTGGAACGAACACCAAGTCACGTACGCATCTGTCTCGCTCTCATTCATTTGTTCATTCGTTCGAGGCGTGCGGTTTAAAGTCAGCTCCGCTCCGCGTTTGCAACCGCAAAAATGCGAAAAATGGTGGAAAATCCTGCGGAAAAAGTGTCGCGCTGCTGTGCAGTGAAGTGTAGAAGTGAATAAACATTAAATATGTCCCTACAGTTTCGTTTAAAAGCAAAGAAAGTGAGTGATCGAGTGCGGGGGCGAAATGGCATGGGAAAGGCATAAAGGCAGAGTAAAATAATTTGTTTTTTTCAAGTGAAGTGCATCAAGTGCTACATATTTGATATAAGCATATTATTTGATACATTAATAAACTTTTTCCATGGCCAAAGTGTTCGTTTAGTCGCGTGATCTTGCGCTGTGGTGTGTGTGCGTGTGTAAGAATGATGCAGAAAAGGCGCGAAGTTTTTTCTCTTTCCTCTTACACGAAGGCGCAAGGAGAAAAAGGAGAAAGCGTAAAGAAGGAGCGAAGGCGCGCTCTCGTTGTAGGTGTCGCCCTAGTATAAGGTGCGGCACTGCATATCTTGGAATCTGTCCCTCTCTCTCGCACATGCACTTGATCAAAAAAGTAAATATCGTGGGAGGGGCACCTCTCCTTGTGTTCTTATTGGAATCAATTTACGCGAACAAATTATGTGTGCGTAGCTGACTTCGGCGTTAAAAAAGCATTAAAAAAGCGGCAAAAACGGTAAATACGCGCGCGTTAAAAATATTGCAGAAAGAAGTGCAGAATTATGAATGAAAAAGGTGAGTTTTATTCACTGTTTTTTTGGGATGTATAAAATGAGAATGTGGTAAACACGTGCCCCTGAGATTCGAATTTTAAGGGATTTTTAGACAGACATGGCCATATAGACTTGGCTATTTACGCTGATCAAGAGTATATGCACAGATATTAGCATACATATGGGGTCGGCAATTCTATGTAACACACATCTCTAGGTATCCGGTATAAAAACTTCAGAAAAAATATATTTTACGTGAATCCAAATTAAAAAAACTGTGTAAGTCCAGGAAAAACACCAAAATAATGGCTAGCGATCCCACGAGAAAGGTATTGCAAATGGAAGCCAATGATCGGCGGTTAACCGAACTGCTGGTGCGCGTGCAGCGGCTCGAGGAGTCGATGAGGAGCGTTCTGATGCCCAGCGTCTCGGACAGTGAAGATACTCGTGCGGCGGTGGAGCCTGTGCAGCGACCAGGCCTCCAGGACTCCCCGAATGATGATCAGCAAGGGAGTGCATAGTCGAATAAAACAACAACTGGCGATTATTTACAACATCATATATTGAATATATAGATATACTATTTATCTCACATTAATCTTTAGTTAGTTTAACCATAAATACTATATGCACGTTTAACAATGATAGAGCGAGAGGCTTTTACAGCTTTCAGGAAAGGAAACCATTCACGGTATTGAAATTACGATTTAAAATTATATAAAAAAAAAAAAAAATTGTATATGTATATTTACGTGGTTTTATTTGATAAAATATATGTATATATAAACACATTTCGCTTCACGCGTAAATAAATAAATGTGGCAAAAGGCGTGGCTTAGTTTACAACTTAAAGGAGGATATGCTATAAATGAATCGAATCGACTGAATGCTTCTCGAAGTAACAGACATGGACAGCTATAGGTATTCATACATACATACATACATATATAGTACATACTCGTAGGACACATATACATACATATATATATTGTACAAATAGAAACTTTCGATTAAAATCCCAACAAATGCAATTGTGCCTTAAAATCGTACGGAAAATGCATTAAATTTGTGTTTAAAAGAGAACGCAAAATAATGCTAAATAGGCATACAATACACACTATACATATAGTACATACAATATAATATACATAGATAATATGTCTTGTTTTTTGTTTTGTTTCTTAAATTGCTGTTGTCTTTTCTGTGGCTGCCAGGGCAAGGACTCAACCTTGTCCCTCATTCTCTTGCAGCTGTATATGATGCAGTGGACCTTCAGTCTTCGCTCTTAGTTTCAGTTTTTGCTGCAACTCTCAATCTCTCGTATCGCCATCTCTGATCTGATCACCCTCAACGATCTACAAACAAAATTCTATTATCAATTGAAAACGCGAACCTAAGTCAAACATAAAATAATAGCAAGTTTAACAGTGATTTCCGGTGTGCTTCTACTTCCGGCTTGCCCACTTTTCGGTTTCGGTTTCGGTTGCGGTTTACTTTTCCTGTCCGTTCACCGCCTGAGTGGTGGTGGCGGTGGTGGTGGTGGTGGCGATGGTCCTGTTGCCAGCCAACTCCTGCTGGATCTCGTTCAGACTCTTGCCCTTCGTCTCGGGCACGGCAAAGAAGACAAAGAACACCCCGAGTACGGTGAGGCCGGCAAAGAGCCAGAAGGTGCCGCCATTGCCCAGAGCGTCGTTCAGATCATCGAATGTCTTGGTGACCACAAAGGCCAGCAGCCAGTTGGAGGTACCAGCAATGGAGCCGGCGAATCCCTTGATATCGGTGGCAAAGAGCTCGCCCATCATCAGCCATGGCACCGGTCCGTAGCCAATGGAGAACATCAAAATGAAGATGCAGAGACTGGCCACTGGCAGCCAGCCGAGATCGTCCACCTTGCTTTGATCCTGATCCTGCAGAAAGAAGTACACACCAATGGCGGTCGTCGAGAGGGCCATTACCGATCCAGAGGCCAGCAGCAGGATGCGACGTCCCAGTTTGTCCACCACCAAAGTGGAGACAAAGGTGGCCACCACCTGCATGATGCCTATCATGATTGTGGCCCATTCCGAGCCAATGCCAATGTTGGCATCCTGTAGCCAGAGACAGAGACAAAAAACAACACACAATTAGTTCTGCAAGATCTCCTTTTTGCTCTAGCGGCCTTCTCTACCCACCAAAAAGATCTTTGAAGAGTAAAAGATGACAGCATTGATGCCGCACAGCTGCTGGAAGAACATCAGGCCCAGACTGATGGCCAAGGCCTTGCGGGTCACTGGGCGATTGAGGGCTGCGAAAAGGTTCACCTTGTTCTCCCGTATCTCCCGGTCGGTCTCGCGCAACTCCTCGATCTCCGGTGCGTAGTCATATTCCTTGCCACGCAGCCACTGAATGGACTTGATGGCGCTTTCCGAACGACCTTTTGCCACCTGTCGATGGGATTACGAGAATGTCACTTTGATTATTTTGATATCTTTAGCTTGGGCACTCCCAATATCTTTTCCGACACTGCCTTGACTTTTAGATAGCAGACTTTTAGACATGCAGATGACAGGTACAAGGCGTAGTGGCTCTGTGCGCTTACCAAATATGTGGGAGATTCCGGCATGAAGAAGAAAATGACGCCGAAAACGATGGGTATAATGCCGCAGATAACGCTCAGCCAGAAGACACTGACACCGGCGCCCACAGCATAGACGAACAGAATGCCCATGGTGATCATCAGCTGGAAGAAGCTGCCGAGCGTGCCGCGGATATCCTTTTGGGCTATCTCGCCCGTGTACATCGGAGCGGTGACACAGAAGGCGCCGCCAGCGAGACCCAGAATGAAGCGTGAGGCGTACAGGAAGCCCACCGATGGGGCCCAGATGAGCATGGCCCAGCCGACGAGGAAGGGCAACACCAGCATCAGCATGGTCAGCTTGCGTCCAATCAAACTGATGAGGAACCCAATGGGGATGCACACGCAGGCGGCGCCCAAATTTATGGACGATCCCACCCACGAGAACTGGGTGCCGCTGACGGGGAAGTCATAGCCCTCGCCACCGTCCACGATCTGCGGTTGGGCGGGCGATGTCCAGCCCAGCACGGTACCGGCGGCGAAGGCACCGCCAGCTGCTGCCAGAGCGGCCACATACTGTGGCAGCTTCTTGGACTTGTTCTCGGTGGAGGCGTGCACCATGTTGCCGAGTAGATTCTCCTGATCCTGCGGGACGATAGAAGGAAGGGTCAGGTGTAAGTGATTCGTTCTTCGTTGAGCGACTAAAATTAACTGAGTTCAGGGTGCCCTAACTACAGCTACAGGTACGGGTACAGGTAATAGTCAACTCATATCAAATCATTCCGACCATAAGCCGTGATAAGGTGTCGTACCCCCGTCACCCAGTGATTAAGACCTTTATTGGCGGTACAGGGGGGGTACTCAGCACCCGATAGTGGGCATTCCATTCATGCACCCATATTTATGACACCCTTCCATCCAAATAGCCATCGAACGGACTATAGCTACGGCTATGGCTATGGCAATGCTCTCCTCACTTCACTCACGATTGTGGTCGCCATGGAGTGCTTCGTTATTTCATTATGCCTGCCGATCGCATAAACAGAAGTCCGGCCATATACGTGCGACTAACACCCATTGATATCACTCGGACGGACAGGTTCGGAATGGTTCAAAAAAATGGTTAAGACCCCCACAACGGCCCATGGGATAATTTTAAATCACAGATGACACGTGATCACCGAGTGGCTACCCTGGTTCTCTTAACTATCCATAGATACAATATACATATATACTCCCCATGTATTTTATGCTCCTGCCTGAAGCACTTGAATCTTTGAAGTACATATAATACTTGATTAATGGAACTTTTAACAATTATAACCATGGGAATTAAGTAATCTCTCCTTAGGATTCCAATTGGGGAACAATTTCCATATCAGAATCGAATTATGATTAGATTCCCATACGATTTGATTGTTTTCGGGTGTATTTGTGTTATCAAATCTAAAGAGATTCATAAACTTTACATAATAGTGCAATTAGGAAATTTCTTCTCTAATTAAAAAAAATACCATTGCCATTGCCCAAAAAGCCCCCTACATCCTTTCAAGCTACTGCCATGTATAAATATATAGATATGTAGAGGAGGCAATACTACTCATTGACTTCCGTTCATTAGGCCATAAATTCTTGTACAATCGGTATATAAGTTTGGGTTATCGCCAGCCCCCGACCCCCAATCAATCAGCAATGGCCTGGGAATCCATATACTGGGCATAGCCACCCACAGAGGCGAAAGAACATCAGATATGTATGATATTCGTGGGGTAAAAGCTTTTTTCATTGATAGTTTTGTATTCGAATGGAGTCGGGGGTCTCTGATTTATGATTTAGTGTACTAGAACGATTCGGTGTGCTACGAAGCGAGTACCTGCTTCGTCATTTTTCTCGCGTCAGATCCTAAAATTTCGGTTTTTTTTTCTCGCTCACTGTATATTTGATTTTCTGGTAGAGAGAACGAGAAAGCAACACATAAATTGGCTGCAAAGAGCCGAATGTGCAGAGCTCTCACTCGGTTTCTATTGAAAGGGGTTGATCGCCAGGAATCGTAATGATCGACGCTTGAGTATAGCTGTGCCCTAATGTGTACTATAAAATACTATACATAAAGGAAAGCCATTCACTTTTAAGTGCTTGTTTTTACTTGAATGGAATCTTTTCTTTACATCTTGGGGACGCTTTAATGTTTCTTCGCTCATTTGCAAGGCGCAAATGTGTAATTTATGGGACATATACTCTCCCAGTGGCCGCTTCCTTTGTGCCTCGTGTGTCGCCGCCCACTCTTGGAGCGTTCCCTGTGTACCCCAATCTCTGCCCACACGCCAGACATGAGGCCGGGAACAAATCACTTCCGTGAAATTCAACCAAAGAGTCGTGGGCAGGGGGGGAAAGCTGCAGCTTGGGGATGGTGGAACGACGCCCACGTATTTACTTGGTGTCGGGACACACCTCCGGCCTGCCGCAGACTGACAGTTAAAAGTAAACGAAGCGTTAAAGCCAGAGCCCCACTGAAATCGATATCTGCCTCTCGACTAGTCTGTGCTCTGCTCTGCCCTGCTTGGTTCTACTTGGTTCTGGCTATTCTTGGTTCCGTCTGTGGCTAATGTGGTCTCTTCAAACCGCTGACTGGCTGTATCTAAATTTAGATTAAATACTAAACGAAGCTCTGGAGGAAGAACTCGTTGGGTGCCCTTAAGTGGGTGCCGCTCGGCGCTCCCTCTGACCAGCAGCTCCTTCCTCCTAGAAGGAGAGCGAGTGTCAGCGACCAAGCCAAGTCCAAGTTCGTTTCAATGTCAGTGGCAATGGCAGGCAGTGGCCGCGCAACAGTGCGCGTCATATACATATGTATGTGTATGCAAACAGTGGCATTCCATTAAACTGGTTCACAAAATTAATAAAGCATAAAGAAATTCCACTCAAAATACTCCATAATCATTTGACTGGCTCTCGTCCAACCTGATTTATAATACTCCCGTTCTATAAACAATTTCATTTGCATTTCGGTAAATCTCATTCCCATTCATTCGGATATTCCTGAAACAGAAACATGTATACCCATCGATTTTCTGCGAGAGTGGAAATTGTTAAATATAAATATAAATATAAATAAATAAAATAAAAATAAATATATTTTATATTTAGATAAAATATATGTCCTACAAATGTAATATATTTATGTTTTTGGATTAAAAAGACTCTTTAACACATTAATGAATGTATCTAGAAATATAATATTTAATTTAAATATGGGCTTATTTGTTTGGACTTTTCTCTGAGTGTAGATAGAAGATACCTCAATGTATTATTTAAATAAACGAAAGTGACTAAAGTTTTGTCGATTAAGACATAAAAATCACATTTTATACGGCTCGAAATTTTGGTTATATCATTGTTATTCCAATGCCCAAAAGAGACCTCTCGAGACCTCGACTTCTGTTGCTCCAGTTTCAAAATCTATTCAAATGCTGATCACGATGCGGGACCGCTCTTTCGATGGTTCAATGTTTTATTTATTTGTAGTAATAAATTCCATCAAATATATTGTATTTGCTGACTAATTTTGTGCGCTCATTGGAACGACTACCACTCATAAAAAATTGTACTCCCCTTCTCTGGGGAATGGGTTTATTTTTACTTTACGCCCCCTTTTTTGCTATCATCGTTTTCTTGGCAGAACTTTAACGGAATTGTCTTGTCTGTGGTCTTGTCTCTATCTCTGCCTCTTCGCTGGTGACCTTGTCCAACATGGAGCATAAAAATAGAAAGTTTTCAACATGTGCCCCACGGCCTGCGGGCTCGTTAAGGTTGATAAGCTTGGCGATCTATCATTTGGGAATGCCAAATGGCAGAAAAACGCTTAGGACGTTTAGGAAAAAATAAAGTTAGCTTGAGCATATTCCTAAAGGTGTACGTCTGGAGAGAAATAAACAATTTAACTGCTGATAATTGCTTGTTCAACTATTTATATCTTGTATCTTTTCCTGCGGCCAGATTGCCATTTACTTTACAAACAGTTTCTGAGAGTGTTTGCTCTGGAAAAACATTTAAACGTTTTGCTGAGTACCCTAACTGGGTACCCTAAAAGGGTATCTGCGAAATTTATATGCACCAAAGCTCTTCGAAGGGGTTCTCTGATTGAAAGAAAATACTCTGGAAATGGTATCTGCACATTTTGATTAATTTTTGACTGCGTTATCTGGACATTCGCATTGTTTTGGCCTTAACTTCAGCTTGAACCTGTGTTATTACCATCACCGGGTAGTGTATCTATGAAATACGAGTAGAATCTGTTTGTGTGTTTGCCTACATGGGGTGTGGTGGAGCCATTCTCATTGGCTTTGACGATTTTTACCGCTTGGCGGGAGCCATATTTGGCACCGTTCTCGGCGGCCTCCAGCAGGTGGGAGCTCTCCTCGTTGCTAGTGCCAGGCTTCCTTGGGGCCTGCTCCTCTGCCCCGGCACTCGAGTTGCTCGACGAGGTTGACATCTTGATGGGTATTATGTAAACTGCGTTTCGGTTGGGATTGCTTCCTGAGATCTTTTCTCTAGAGATATGTTTTCTTTGCTGATTGCTTGCCGAAGGTTTACTTGTTCGATTTTCTTGCACTTTTCACACACGGCAACAAAATTGGTTGAATAATACGCGTACGTGAAACGTCTAGATATGTATGTCCTTTGGCCGAGACTCTTGTCCTTTATCGCCTGGGCCGCCCACGTAGCATAGAGAATACTTTCGGGCGCATGCGCACTCAATCGCAAAACATGTTGCTGTCCAAAAAATAAAGAAAAACACCAAAAACTGTCTTTCTTTCACACAAAAACAATTGTTACGGCGATATGTTACGGAACTATTGGGATATTCTGGATATATGTATATTTCCCGATATGCGTATATTTTTCGGATATGTAGATGGTTCGAGTCGCGTATCTTTGGCAGCACAAGTATCCGGCTGTCTGTGTATCTTTGTATCTTCAAACCGCACGCAACGAATGATGGCTAGCAAATGGCGCGCCAAACAATACAAAAAAAGGCCTCCGCCGGGCTCTGGACTCGTTCTCCATCTCTCTCTCTCCCTCTCTGTCTGCTCTCTGTTTTGCTCTCTTTCTCTGCGAGAACTGGTCCCGCTCTCTCGCTTTCGTCTGTCATGGGCATGGTCTTGGGGTAGGGTAGCGGACTACGACGCTGGCGAGGCTATTGACTCTAAAACTGGAATCGAAAGCCCAGTAGTTTTTTGTTTTATTTTTGTTTTGATTTCTTCTTATTCGGTTTTCTGGCGTTCTGACGTTCTGTCGTTCTGTCGTAAAGTGCAGCCAGACGACTGGTTGCAGTGCAACACATGGCAGCCTTCGCCCGGCTTTCCGCCTCCGTTTTTGCAGCATGTTGTCGCGAGGCGACTCTTTATTTGCAATAAAGTCAATGCAAATTTATGGCTCCTGCAATTGATCTCCACTTTATTGGCGAAAACTTTGCAGAATGTTGTCCAAAAGGAAGATATTCCGAAAAACAAATTCATAAACGAAATATTTCAATGGGAAATCGGGATAAAATCCTCTAGTGTTCATTGTCTCTTATCAATTTCGAATGCCAGATATGTACACTGGGAGAAAAATGGCGTAACCACATTTAAGCTTAATTAAATTAAATAAAATATTTTTTAAACATAACATAATTGTATCTCTGATAATATTTTATAATCAAATACAAATTACAAAATAACTTAAAAATAATAAAACAATAAAATTGTGAAATCAAATTTACACTTTGATTTAAACATAAATGTACTAAAAATGAATGAAAATACAAAAAATGTTAATTTATATACGATATATTAAATTTGTAGAAAATATATTTGATCTAAATATAGAAAATATTTAATTTAAATATAAAAAAAATATAAAATATTTAATTTAAATATGAAAAATATTTATCTTAAATGTGAAATACATTTAAGAAAAATTCCACTCTCGGAGTAGATCGATTTTTAAAACATTCATTTTAAAAACCAAGTGAAAATATTTAAATTTGAGTGCACTTTTTCTCTGAGTGTATGCATGTATCACAGCAATTGTAAAGCCATATCCGCACAATTCAATTCATTCAAGATGAAAAGGTTAGCCATTCAATCAATTTGTTTATTGGATCGCATAGCCAAGGAGATGGAATTTAAATGTACCTCCAGATACCGTATAGAATCCGCACGTTGCATACACTGTTGACGGCATTTCCGTGTGCACACAAGGGTGTAGATGCAGATACAGAACTGCAAAACAAGCGCAGTGCAGATTAAGATTCGAACTCGGATACAGACAAAGAGCATGTGTGTAGATACATAGATACACGTACTTGTATCTCTGTATCATTTTCAATACCATTTGCCCAGGCATTGTTTGATTAGCTATGCAAACGCATACAGCTCGTTTAATTCTATGGATCTATGTGGATCACGTTTGCTCGTTGGCTGGCAAGACGCGTATGTGCAGACCCTCAAAAGCAATCCATTATTATGCTTCCTACACACGGTCTCCGAGACTCAATGAAGTACGGGGTCTTTTATTGTTGTTGTTGTTGTTTTCAATGAATAAACATGACAATGGAATGAGGAGGCTACTCGTAATCCTACCTATTACATATCGTATATGGGTCAGGTAATGAAAGTATTCGTTTGTTTTGGAAATGAATGGCACTTTGAATGGAAAATGAGTTGGAAAGTGGGGAAAGTATGGAATGTAGCGGCACAAAATTCCAGAACTGCATTTATTTCTAGAGAATTTGAACTATTTTGTTACTAGTATTAATTAATCTTTATTATTTTTATTTATTATTTATTATTACTATTCTTTTAGAGAATCTTAAATTTCAAATCAATAAAAGTAAATAAATAAACAAATATTATCCCCCCCCACCCCCTCCACCCAAGGTCTGGCCCATGCTCGTAGTTTGTAACCCACGCAGATTCCACCACCCGCCCCCATTTCGCTGTCCCCCCTGTACATCCCTTAGCGAAGCCGAGACCTGGAATTCAACCAAACATTTGGCACGCTCAATGCTGGGATCAGGCGCACAGCAACGCCTAAAAGCATGCTCACCTGCTGACTGTTTCAGCATTTCCATATACAGAAATGTATCTCTGCATCTGTATACACACGCAATCCGCATTTCTGTGTGTGTTTATTAATTACAATACCGGCAAGCCGGGGGCGAGAGCAAAGAGGGTAAAACAGCTCAAAAACTCAAGGCATGATGAAATGCTGGCATTGGCCTGACGGCCTGCCCTTACGTAAGAGGTGGAGGCACAGGCAGAGGCAGCCCAAAAGCATTGGCCCCACCAGGTTGGCATAGTCTCTGGTTTGTGTTTGACCTACGTCAGCGGCTACGTCACGCAACGGTCTGTATCTGACAGATACAGATAGTCTGGGGCATTTAGAGGGGCGTGTGCGCTGCGCGTGTGACGTCACAGAAGCCAAGCCCCAAATCTCCACCAATCAGAAAGCCACCAGCATGTATACCTAAACATTGTGGATACATTTGCATTTGCCCAGCTGTAGATACATACAGACATACGAGTATGTGTATCTGAATACATTCTGGTCTTTGCAGCGGCTTTGGCTGGCACATAAATCACGCGATTCTCTCGTTCCAATCTCAGTTCAAGTGCAGCCACCAAATATTTCTGCTGACCCAACCAACGCCATCATCGTTTCGTTCTTTATCTACGACCTACATTTGAACTTGCGACAGGGCCAACATGAAGCTGACGAATACCATATACCGTCCCAACCAGCCACGAATTTCACAAGTCTATGGATTTCCCGAAAATCAATAAGGCAACCTCAAGGTGAACGTAGATATATTTGTGTGGGCCTGTCTGTCCTTGGTCGGGGGAAAAAGAAAATAATTTTCGGATTTCGCTCAAAAATTGTAATTCTCGAATTTTCACAATTCTGGGTCAGTGCATAATTTTCAAATATACTAGGTATGCTTTAATGTTGGTTTTTTATTGCTTAAAATGGTTTGTAAATATTTATAAATCCTGGTACTTACACTTAAAGATCACGGATTTCAAGGGTTGGAATTCGAGGACTCCTGCAAAAGATACAATATTTAATTAATGTTTATTTTTATTAGTTGAAAATTAATTTATTTCATTGCTTATTATACTATATTTTAATATTTTAATTGGTTATACTCGTAATACTTTAACATATTTTATTTAAAAATATATTTAAATTTGAATTTATTAATGCTATTTATTATTTGTATATATTTATTTATTATTGGTTATTAATATTTGAATGAAAGCCTTTTCGTTTGAAATTGCTAGCTGGCAAAAGCTGAATATTGCCAAAGCTTTCGTTTATTGAAAGCTTTTTGTTCCTACAGTTAAACTGCTTACAATAACTCCTAAACGGTTACTCTCAAACTGTGGCTTTAAAACTGTAGAGCCGTAGAGCGAGAATCGAACTTGATAAGTGGTAAAGTGCTAAATAAATATTATTACCGTTTATATTTACACTTTTTTTTTGGGGGGGAATTTCCAAAACACTTGTTTCGGTTATATGTAGCCGCGGAATGGGGAATCCATCAACTATATTCGTTTTTGAATGCCTAATGTCCCAAGAAAGGGTTCTGTAAGGCCTACAAAATAGTTAATCCATTAGTTATACATTTAAAATGCCGATAAACTATCAATTTGTATCGTTTAAGCTCCTCTATGACCCCAAAAATAGGTGCTCTATAGGTGCAACCATCGATCAAACCGCTAGACGGTTGAGAAGACACCAGAGGAAAGGCGGGGAGAAAGGCGGGAGAGAAAGTGTGTGGCGAGGACTCTTATCAGGGAGCAGAAACCATGAAGCGATATTAGAACTAAAGTGCGATTATTTACTGTCCCAGGGGGGGGCTGGACGATGGGGGGTGGTACGTCTTATCGGAGTTATGTCACTCGCATTGTTTTGCCCGCTTGCAAATCGCTTTATGGCTCCATCGAACCAATAGATTTCCATATCAGAGCCCCCCCCAACTCATTTCAGATATGGCTAGCATTTGAAGTATTTATGTGCCGGCGTCCTCTCGCTTTCGATTCATTGATTGAGTGCATTCCAAAACGGTCAATCGGCAAGGACCGAGGACTATAAATACCCGGTACGGAATGCTTGATTGACGGCTCGTAGAGCGATAAATGTGACAAAATAACAACATGCCGTACATACACGCCCCCACATATGCATATACTATATGCCCACCATATCAGATCGGATCAGAGCGCACAACCTTAACAAGAGATTTCCTTATTAAATTCACTAAAAAGCGAAAACTATTTTAAATACGATACCTAGCCGTGGCCGCGGGAATTTATGAGAGTCAATTGAGCGCACTTTACTTTGATTAAAAGAAATCTTTATGAGGGTTTGCTTGCTTTCAGATACAAGAAAAATGCCAGAAGAACAAAAACAACAACAAAAAACACAGACACAGGGGGGCTATGGCCGAAAGATATAGCCACAAATGATAAGATTTGAGTGTTCACCGAGGGGGGGCGACAAAAAGGATTGCAATATATGTATGTATGTACGAGAAGTAAATAATATTATTGGGATTATCCCATTCGTTGTCCGGCGCAATCCAGTTTTTTGCTGTATTTGGGAGCCCGATTAAATATTATTGGAGGCAGCCACTTTTTGCGGCTTCCAATGGGATTGCCCTCGATCGTAGAACGGAGCCGAGATCCGATCAACCATGAAGCTGCTGCCTCTGCT